CCGGTCTCCAGGGGCCCCCCCCCCCCCGGCCAGTTTTGGGTTTCCTGCCGGCCTCGCGGCGTTTCGGAGGAGCCGCTCGTCCCCCTGCAGCCGCAGGGAGGGCTCCGGTGCGGAACTTTGCTCCGAGCTGTCCGGGAAGGGAGACGAACCTTTTACACGCGAAATTGCTGAACTGGGGTGGGGAGGAGCAGGCGGCTCCCCCAGGGCCGCCCGGCGCTGGCTTGGAGCGAAACGGCCCGTTTGGAGCGAAGCAAAAGCAGCGTGTGTGGAAGGGGGTCAGAAACCCTCCCCGCACAAAGGCAGCGCTGCCCAAATAAACCACGTCGGCTGCTTTTCCCATTGCTCACGTGGCCGCAGGGACTGGCAGGCCCGGGCCGCCTGCTCAGCTCCTCCGACTTGGCAGAGGCCGGGAGCCCTGATGGGTTTTTGGGCTGAGCACGAGCGTTTTTGGCGCACGAGCAGCCCCTGTGCCTGCAGAGATGCCCTCCCATAGCAGTGGCCTCCCCGAGCCTCCTCCAAGGAGCTGCCCTGTGCTGGGAAGCAGCGAGCCGGGTGCTGCTGCCCTTCCCTAGGGTCCCAGATGGACTGTTAATCTCAAGAGCTTTTCAGTTTTGTAATAATTATTTTATTGTGTAGGCTGAACTTCAGTTCACTAAGCCGTTTTTTTAATCTCATTTATTAACTGTTTAAAATGGCCCTTATATTATAATTGCCGGAGAGGTCCTTTTTAATATCCCTTCTTCTTCCTTTTTCTCCCCTTATCTTTAAGTGCCACTATGATACTGCTACTGTCTATTCACTCATCTCTCCTCAAAGAGGAAAAAAAAAACCACAGAAGCTGAGGGAATCGCACCAAAAAGTTGTCCTTGAATGAACTGAACTTAGGTGTAGGTTCCAAAACAGGGTTTGTTAATCCGCGTGGAGTATTAGGAGTAACACCCGGCTGCTGCGTCGCGGACTGAGCTGGTGAGCGGAGGAGCCCGTGTCCAGGTGGAGGCAAAATGAGTGCGAGGGTGACAGCGCACGGGAGCAGAAAGCAGGATGTTCTTGTTATGGTAATACCTGCGCTGGGCGACACGTAATCGCCACAGTTGCATTAGCAAGGGTTGCTTGTTGGCCTGTAAAGTGACCCTGCCATGGGCTCGGGACCTGAAGGGTCAGTCAGGGTGTTGTTCTGTGCGTAGGGGTGTGTGTGTAGGGGTGTACCTGAGGCTGGGCTTGGAGTTCTCCTAGGAAGCTGTGCTGGTCTCCTGCAAAAAGAACAAAAAGCTGCTTTTCGGCAATGACTTCCTCCCTCTAGAACTCGCTTCACACTGAAATGTTTATACAATTTCACTGACACTGAATTTTTTAAATAATTGAAGTTAGACTTAGTTGTCATCTCTCCACCTGCCTTTGACTTTTATCCTCTTTATTCTAAGATTGACATCTCAGGGTTGTCGTGTTTTTTCATTTGGTTAACTTACAGTTAACTTGCTATAAAGAAAACTTAAAAAAATCTTTCCCCAGCTATTTCACCCCAGCAGGGGCAGGGGAGCAGATACTTTTGGATTTAACAAGGTTAAGCTACGTGTCCTGTATAATTAAATTCTTTTGGTAAGGCTGTAAGCATTTCTGGATTTGCAGTGTTCACCGCGACGGCTGAAAGATGGTCACTGTATTCGGGGTTCCCTGCACCGTTCGGAGCTGGCACGGATAATTCCAGCTGTTCAATTAGTGCCACTTCCCGAGTTGGGAACAGCGGCAGGTGGCTCCCGAGGCAGGACGTGGCGTAGGAAACGGCTGCACTTTGCTCCACGAGCTGCTTGGAGCGGTTGTGAGTGACCGGGTGGTGTTAGAAGGTCCAGTCCTAACCCCAGCAGTGATGCAGTGATTCCCTGGTAGTTCAGGAAAGGAAGCTGCTTTCCCAGTTGGATTCTGAGTAACGTCACTTTGGGCTTTTGGAGCACCAGTTTCTGTGATCCCCTTGGAGGGGCCCGAGTGCAGGGCTCAGGGTTGAAGTTGGGGTAGCAAAGCAAGGCTTAAAGTGGTTCCCTCATCCAAAGGACTGGTCCAGAATCCAGAAATGAGTGTACTCGGATCCACGTTCCTCTAACCTGGCTCTCTGGCTGGAAGCTGCTGGAGGAGCCGTCACTGTTGCTGCGCTGGGAGTTGTGGTGACAGGAGCTGGTGGGCACTGACAAGAATCAGGGCCTGGCACGGGGCTCTGGAAATGCTGCCCCATCCCGAGGCCGGGAAGAGGTTCCTGACGGATCCCGGTGGTGCCAAGGTGTTTGACTACAACCGCAAGGGCTGTGCAGCTCTCACGTGCCCCGTGTTGTCTGCAGGTTGTCTTTGGAAGGAAGCTGACGTCCTTCTCCGCGATAGCGCTGAACCAGCTGCAGCACGAGAAGAAGTATGACATCTATTTCACGGATGGAAATGTTTACGCGCTGTACAGGTAAACACTGGGATCCTTTCTGTGCAGATCCCTAAAACACCACGCTCTTATCTGCGTTACGTAACAGGAAAGGCATGACTCAATAGATCCAAGTGGTGTTGTCCTCCGGGAACGGAGGGACTGTCACACCGTGTACCTTAGTCACCCGGCACTGCGAGTGGCCATGGCAGGAGGGGCTCCAGCCCCTTGGTGTGAGCTCCCAGGGCCAAGGTGGGCAAAGGGAGCAACTCAAAACTGGAATTTTAGATTATTAGATGCATAATACAGAAGTGTTGCTCCATCGATTTAAAAAAAAATTGCTTTCTTTTTCTGCATTTTTTTTCTTTGCTTTAGCAGAGCAAACTTGCTGGAAGGCTTTCCATTCCTTGCATGGCTGCTCTGTAACTTAGTGAGGAAGGTATTACTGTTATAATTATGTTTATTGCTGTGTTGTATAAAGGCTAATCAAAAGCACCTGTATTATGCATTGCATGGATGAAGAGCAATCTCTTCCTACAAAAATCTTGGATGATGTAAAACTGGATCTGACTGGGTGATGTAAAAAAAAAATACCAACAGAATAAAAATGTGGCATCAACGTCATGTTCTTCAAGTATTTTTCATAACATGTTTAATTGGGAGGATTTAAATTTAATTAAAATTAGTTAAATAGAAAGAATTGTGTGAAGGAGAGAGGCAAAACAATGCAGGCAGTGGTGCCTTTTCCTTAGAGACTGGTGTGGAATGTCCAGCCTGGTTGGTGCTGAAACAGTAGCTTTGCTGGTATATTTATGGTTTTGCATGACATCATATTTATGGAACTGGGCAGTGGGTTAATGAGCAGGATTGGCCCAAAGCACATTCTGATTAATTATAAACCAGCTCTGAGAGTTACTTTTCATGCTTCTGGTGAGTTGCTGAGACTTCATTTCCATGGGTAGCCATCAAGAGTGAGTGAGTGGGGTTTTCCACCGAGACCAGTGCTCTCTCCTTGGCCGTTGTTGGGAATCACTCTGTTTTATTTGCATTTTTTATTGCAGTTCTTTATCTGCTCTGTGCTTCCTGTCATATTCCTCAGTTCCTGACGGTTGAAAGCATAATGAGATGTGAATGCTGCATAAAATGGCTGAGTCCTCAATGAACTAGAGATTTGTGAGTGGACTGTAACATGTCCATGCAACAGGTTTCACGCTAGCAGTGTATTATTTGCACAGTAGCTGTTCAGCTCTTCCCTTGCAGTTCAAGCCTCTGTGTAATATGGTTCTGCTCTGTTCCTGACAGGTGACAAAGTATCCTTGGAATAAAAAGGACTCTAACCTCATTACACATAGCTGAGGGAGCTGTAAAAAGGCAACATTCTGCCACTGGTGGAACATTTGCCTTTTGCTAAAGGTATGAGATTGCTGAGAAGGAGTCAGATAATTTTAATAAACCTTCCTTCGTCCCTCAGGAAGCTGCTGCAGCACGAATGCTCCGTGTGCCCGGACGCGAGGCCGTTCAGCACCTTTGCAGATCTGGAGCAGCACATGAGAAAGCAGCATGAACTCTTCTGTTGCAAACTCTGTGTTAAGCATTTAAAGGTGAGTTAGCTCTTTTTTTTAAGGTATGGCAAAGAGCTTCCCTATACGAGCAGAAAGAGTATTTGGGGAGGTGGGAGCGAGAGGGTGGCCATGGAATTTCCGCTGCCTGCAGTGAAACTAGTGACTGCATTTCAGGTCTTTCTCCTTTCAGGAACTGATTAATGAAGGAGGCCTAAGGATTCTAATTGGATTATGTTTTAATTTAAACCCAACTAGATTAATAACCTTCTGAGCTTAGCTCCACCCCACAATGTATATATGTATCGAAGACCCAGCCTTCTGATAGGAAGTTAATCCTGACTCATAGGCAGGATTTGTAACTGTGACAATAGAAACTTAACATCCATTTAGTCTTTTACCTATAACAACTTTATAAAACAAAACTGCAAATGAGAAAATACTTGGTGCCAGCTTAAGGAAAAGAGACCGTCACAGAATGTTAGATTTCCTCTGTGAGACCAGAATCAACTTAGCATTTGCAGTCAGGTCCTGTACAGGATGGGAATTCATCTTGCTGGCTTCATGAAATATAATTGTGCTTCATTATCATGTTTATTTGTTCACAACAAGTTTCCTGTATCTTATTAAAATCAAAATGCTGATTTGATAGGAAGACGAAACCTAATGTTATCAGTGGCCAAGGTCTACTATATTTGATGTCCCCGAGTAGAACATGACCAATGGTAGTTTTAAAACATTTCTTAGAGCCCAGTACAGATAAAAGCAGTTACTGGAAAGGTGAGTTGTCTGAGCCTGGAAAGGTGCTGTGCTTTGAACCTTTAAACTACTCTTCTTGAACCTTTAAACTACTCTTCTTGCTATTACCATTGAATTCCTTCCTACCCCCCAGAATTTCACTTAGAATGGCTGGTATTAGTCAAAAAGCGGAAGCTTTTTTTGCACTCAAAGTCTGAATTCCATCTTTGCCTAGAGCTAGAGTGCTTTTCTGTATTTCTGAATTGCATGTCAGCCAGAACCAGCAGCTGCTGCTAAATCAACGGGTAAGACTGCTAACCTGGCTGTAGCTGTTGTCAGCATTGCTTATTGTTACGGGAGGGAGCTTAATGCATGAGCAAGTGTTTTTAGGACTTGTTACACATAGGTTTTTTTTTTTTTTTTTTCCAAAACTGGTACATGGCAAACTGGAGAAATATATTTGCCCTGCCATGCTTGGCTTATGCCAATTGAATTGTTGGCTACTGCCAGAAGGAGCAGGATCCAGAGGCAATCAGAGAGTTCCTCTGAGTGGAGACCAACATTTTCTCTCTTTTTTGCAGGGTTAACGTTCAGTGAACTCATTTGACTCTTTCCTGTGGTGGTGCCATCACTAGAGCTAACTCGGGGGCAGGGGAGGGCAAGGCTGCTGCTTTGGGTTGCAGCGTGCCTTGGGATAAGAGCTGCTTCCAAGTCCACAAGAAGACACTTGATCACAGTCTCCTTGCGGGAAAGCACGAACGATAGCAGAATTTGTTGCCCTTTAATTTCAGAATGCTGCAGAGACAGTTTAATTTTGGGGAAATGATGCCGTATTACTGAAAAGAAATTCTTAAATGCGCTTCAGGCAGCTACGCCAAACTAACCTTTTTCCACAATAACATTCTTTAGTTAATGTTCTTTATCTCAGCGAGAAATAAAGGGTATCTGTGTTCAAGGATACGCTCATCTTTTTGGCATCTTCATAACCCTTTCTACTAAAACAGCCTGTGTATTAGATGTTAGCAGGGACAGAATATTGGCTTGTAATGCAGAATTTGTTCACCAAACCATATTGATGGTATGTAACTATATGGGGTAGTTGCTATTGGAGGAAGGTAAAACAGCTTGCTTCTGTTTTGCCTTTTTCCTTTTCAAGCCCAAGTATGCAAGTATTGCATATTCATAAACAAGTATTAAAGCTTTTTTTCCACCAGAGATTATAATTCCAATTTTGTTACTTTATGGGGGAAAAAATGTGAAGAAGAAAGTGAATTTTTTTTTATCCAGTGTTTGAACTGAATGAACTGCAAGTTGTATTTAATTTGGATGTATTGTTTGAATTTTAGCTCCTCACTGAAATTTTTGGGGTGTCAGTTGTGAAATTGCACCTTTCTGAGGCTGGTCAAAGCAAATCTTCCACTCTTATAGCTGAAAAAGTTGTGCAGAACCTGCCTTATTCCACTTTGTTCACTATTCACATGAAGTAATACAGATATATGTATGTATTTCTTCAGATATTTACGTATGAACGGAAATGGTATTCTCGTAAGGACCTTGCCCGCCATCGAATCCACGGAGATCCGGATGACACCTCTCATCGTGGCCATCCCCTCTGTAAATTCTGCGACGAGCGTTATTTGGATAATGACGAGTTGCTGAAACACCTAAGACGAGATCATTATTTTTGTCATTTCTGTGACTCTGATGGTGCTCAGGAGTACTACAGGTTTGTGAAAGTGGCTTATTTCTCTTTCTGTAGCTTACAAAGACTTGTACATTTGGCATAGTGTATTTTCTATATATATACACTGAGTACAGGACTAATAATTCTGAAATCTGTCTGTTTGATCTGTTGTTCTTTAGTGGCAGCACTAGTCACTTCCTATCTAGCTGTTATTTTAACGTTTTCTTGTTGGCTGCGTGGTTTGTTAATACAACGGGCCAAAACTTTTGTGCAAAGGAAGTGGGAACAAATTTTCCTTGGAGACACTTGTTGTCCTCCTGCGGGATGTGCTAATGGTCACCCAGTGGGTGCCGTCTAGCTTCGAGGCGGCGCGCGCTGTGTGGAAGAGCTTGGAGAGCCCTGGAGATAGGAAAGCACCAGCAGGGAGGCCGGTCTTCCCAGCAGCTCCAGGGAGCTCCCTGCAGCCTCAGGGAGAAGGGGACGGGGGTGGCTCAGCCTGTCGTGTCCCCGCAGCGACTACGAGTACCTGCGGGAGCACTTCCGCGAGAAGCACTTCCTCTGCGAGGAGGGCCGCTGCAGCTCGGAGCAGTTCACGCACGCCTTCCGCACCGAGATCGACTACAAGGCGCACAAGACGGCGTGCCACAGCAAGAGCCGCGCCGAGGCGCGCCAGAACCGCCACATCGACCTGCAGTTCAGCCTCGCGCCGCGCCACCAGCGCCGGAGCGACGGTGAGAGGCGCCGGGGTGGCCGTGCCAAAGGGGCGTCCGTGGGAGCAAGCGGTTTTAGTGGCTGATGCTCCCTTCCCGTTCGCCTTTATTTAAACATATTGCCTCACAAGTAGTATAAATTAGGGATGAAGATGGAGCGTGAGAGCAGAGGAGTGCAGCCACTGACACACCTCCAAACTTTTATGTGCAATTCTGCATACGGGTCTCTGCACATAAAAATGAAACTGCTTAAAGCTCCCATCACAGGTAACAATGTGTTCCATATACTACAAAATATGAGTGTATTACTCCTGGAAGTTACACAGACTACATAACCATTGCAAGTGAAAGAAATCAAGATTTGTTCTTAATCTTTTAACCTTTTTCAGGCATCGTGTAATACCCGGATTAGGGAAATAACTTTAAGGCTGATCAACCGTCTCCCCTGTTTAGGTGTTATAGGTGGAGAGGACTACGAAGAAGTGGACAGATTTAACAGGCAGGGCAGGTCGGGCAGGCTCAGCAGCCGAGGAAGTCAGCAAAACAGAAGAGGCAGCTGGAGATACAAGAGGTGAGTAGCACAAATCTGGTAGATTTTCCTTGCTGCTTAGTGTTGTTTCTTAACTACCACTTGATGATGTTTTGGTAGGGCAGTAGGAGAAAAGGGAGTACAAAACCTGGGAGCTTCCCTAGTGGATCCTTAGCTGAGATCAGAGCTAGGCTTTGCTCTAAACTGGAGTGCTGGTCGTGCGCTTGCTCAAAGTGAAATCTATTTTGTGCGAAGTTTCAGCTCTCTGGACTTGCCTAAGGAAATGAGCAATGTAATCTTCAACAAGCTCAGAATACTAAACTAATTTGCAGCAACTGTTTGTTGGTTGTTTCGTTTTTGTTTTTTTTTGTATTTGGTGCTAACTTTTCTAAATAGGATTTTCTGAAGTGACAAGTTTTTTCAGGTTTAATGGACTTTTTGGTCTAGGTAATCATGAAGTTCCTATTCTAAGGACCATGCTTTTCATTGAACTAACAGATCTCTGTGTGGCCAGACTGAGTGCTTTGGAAAAAGAAGAGGGTTAAGTATTGATACGAAATTTTGCATTTATATGTCTTTTCATCCACACAAGACCTGAGTGCTTTATACATACTGCACATCTCTTTCTTCTTTTCTTGCTGGACAGTCAGATAGTTCATTACTGGTAATTCACTGGGGAAAAAAATCCATCTCCAAGCACCTTATGTGTCAGTGTCGCATGCGAGTCGTGCATGTGTTGGGAGTTCATGACAAACCATATTTCGGAGTTCCTTCAACCTCCAGATGAAATCTCCATACATTTGGAAATGAGTGGGAGAGACAAGTGTCCTCGTGCATCCTTGCTGCTGTCTCTCCCAGTGCACCTGGGGCTCTTCAGTACTGATTTGTTGTCACCACATGTACAACTTGCAAATCCAGGGGGTGAATGTTGCCTGTCTCACCAGACTGCTGGGGCTGTTGTGGAGTAGTGGGTTTGTTTCAGCCTTCTCAGCAGGTGACAGCACAAGGCCAGGGAGTGTCATCGGGATGTGACACTGGAGAGGTGAGAGCTGGCGTGAGACAAAGCTCTGTACTAATCCCTACTGTTTGACCAAGAAAATCTGTCCTGTCCTGTAGGGAAGAAGAGGACAGAGATGTTGCAGCAGCAGTCAGGGCATCTGTTGCAGCTAAACGGCAAGAAGAGAAAAAACGGGTAGAAGATAAAGATGACAGCAGCATCAGCAGGGCTAAAAAGGAGGAACTGAGGGATTTGGAAGTACCCAGCTCCAAACGTGTGCCAAAGTCTTCAAATGATGCTACAGGTTAGTGCTGAGCATTCCCTGCAGCTGCAGGAAAGCAATCCTGGCCTGGGGACTGGCCTGGCAAAGGGCTGCATGGCCATGCAGTGTGCTCCAAAGCTAGGGAATACGGAGAGAGCTGTGCAGGATCTTAATACAGCAGCACTAGGGTTTGTGCAGCACGGTGTCCTGAAAGTGGAGCTGGGCAGAAATACTAAATCCAATCTTAAATGCCATTTTTTCACTGCAGCATGCAAGAGCTGATCTGTTGTGATGCTTGCTTGAGCCAATTATTCCTCTTGTTGGAAAGAAGTAATTTCCAGCAAAAATCTATAACTGATGGAAGCAAGATTTGAATTGTTTCAAGTCGGGGGACAAGTGTATATGATGCTTCAATATAGGGCTGCTTCAAGTCTCTCTTGTATTGCTAACTGTTCCAGCAGCAGATTCCCCTTTCAGGGTTATGTACTTTAATTATGAGCAGGAGCAGCTGAGAGCTCTGGTCGTTTCCTGGGTGCAACTCAGCTGGGGTCTCTGGCAAGGTTATCAGGAGCATCTTAGGCTCTTGAGGATTCCCTCAGAATACATTTACCAACATTTTTCTCATGTTAAAGTGTCATGAACTTGCTAAATGCCAAAGCCAGTGTGCAGTGACACAGTGGGGAATGCAGTTAACTGAAGTGACACGTGGATTTAAATTGTCCTTTTCTAATATCACAGTTAACGGCATCATCAGCTGCTGAAAATAGGACTCACTGGTGCTTATGTGATGTTCCATGATAGCTTTCATTCTGAAATGAATGGATTTTGGTTGAAAACATATCTTTGGTCTTTTTTGTTTTTTTCCAATACTCCAAAGAAGCAGCTGCTAATGGTGCTTTATGCCAAGATGACTTTCCAGCAATTGGTGCAGCAGTGGGACCTCTACAGGGGTAAGTCTGTGCAAGGCTGTAGCAGTGAAAAAAATTCGGTGGCTTTTTTTCCCCTAGAAAATAATTTTGTACATTCTTCTGGACTGCACCTAGTTCCTCTTCTTCCCCCTTTTTCCCTTGAACTCTTGCTCTGCTAGGAACCTGCATGACAGAACTGTCACTTCAGTATGCAGCTTGATCTTCGAGTAGCTTCAATGAAATTCTCAACATTTGTTCCAGTAATTTTTAACTTGGCAGTTTACCTTGATGGAACCGTGTATTTTTGGTTGTAAAATGCATCCTCTCCCAGAATTGGTGCTTATTAAATAGAGCCTTTGCAAGGCCTGGCAGCTAGATGGCCCCCCTGCAGCGCGCGTGCGGCTGCTGCGCAGGGTGAGGTGCAGGCAGCACAGCAAGGACAGCGTGGCTTCTTCAAAGAACCCACATTTCAGGCACAACTGATAATCCTGAGTGCCTCCTGCTCCTGTAGCAGGTAGGGCAGTTGTGCTGCCCTGCGTGGTGCTCTGAAGGTGGCTGCAGTGGGGTGCTCATCTGGCTCTGCCTCCTGGAGCTGCCCTGCCTCCAGCACCAGGGTAACTTGCTGAACTTTTCCTTTCTCACAGCTCTGCCCAGCTGGCGCCAGTTAAGCTTAAGGAAGAAGACTTCCCAAGCTTGTCATCTTCTGCAGCACCCATCTCTTCTGGGATGTCTCTGACATACATAGCTAGTGCAAAGAAAACAGCTTTTCAAGAGGAGGATTTTCCAGCTCTGGTGTCCAAAATGAGGCCTAACAAAACAGTAACTAGCATCACATCTGCATGGAACAACGGTTCCAGTAAAAGTGTGGTCAAAGCCATTAGTAGCCCCAGTGCAAACCAGATAGCCAAAAAGCCACCATCCTTGAACAGCAGTAAAGGAAGCAAGAAGAGCAATAAACTCTCTCTGTCAGATGATGAAGACGGTGGCAGTGGCTTGACAACCCAGGAGATCAGAAACACGCCGACTATGTTTGATGTATCGTCCTTGCTGGCAGCTTCTACCTCACAAACTTTTACGAAAGTGAGCAAGAAAAAGAAGATGGGGGCTGAGAAGCAGAGACCATCGTCCCCACAGCTCTTGCAGGATACGTCTTTTCCCAAGGCACCTGCTGAAAAGCTGCCAGGAGCAGAGCAGACAGCAAATGCTTCCTCTGCCCTTCACGGCCCTGACAGATCTGCAGCCGTCGTGAACGGTCACTCGGAAAAATCCTTAGCAACCTGCAGCACCCCCAAAGAGCCCCCTGGCCTTAAAAAGCCCACAGTGACTAACCCATGCCCTTTACCTCAGGAAGACTTCCCAGCTCTTGGGAGCTCAGGATCAGCTCGGATGCCTCCGCCACCAGGTGAGTGCTGCAGGGCCCCCACAGCCCAGTCTGCTTGTAGCTTCCAGAAATGTGGCATGTGGCCCATGGCAGAGGAGCACAAAGCGCTCCTCGCGCCTGCCACGCGCAGAGGAGCAGTTCTGGCACGCAGCATTCGAAGCCAAAAAGACACCGTGGGCAACCTGCTTCTTTGGAACGTGCACTGTGACACACGTGAATTGGTGACAGTGCTGGGAGCCCTGTGCTCCGTGTGGCCGCAGGTGCCTCCTTGGGGATGGCTCATGGATGAGCTGCCAGTCACTGCTTTTTTGAGTGACATCCGTGTGTTTCCACATGTTAAGATCTAGCTCTGAAGCTCCTGTGGGCACCGTCTTTAGCTGAGGGCAGCACCTGCTGGCCCTGGCAGTTGGCTTGCTCAGTCACTTCAGTCCTGTTTTGCAAACATCCAACGCCCAGGCTTTCAGTGGCACCGCAGTCTTGTAAAAGTGGAGTAACATAGCAACAAATGCGACCCAGAGAGGTTTTAATGAAAGCAGCATCACTTTTGTGCTCTTGTTCTGTGGTGCCCTGCAGATGCTGCTGGGCTTATTGTCTGCTATGGCTTGTGTGGTGTTTAGTGCTGCTGTGACTGCCAGAGTGGCTTGGGTTCATTTTAATAATGCAAAACCATCTTTCACCAGGAGCTTTAGTGGTCTTGTTTGTTTTCCTGGAGCTTTCTTGTAGAGTAACATGAGCTCTATGAAGTATTTTTTTGGCTTGACTGTTAAGGGAGCAGCTTTCTACCCCTTGAAGTTTCTTCAAATACAGTGGTATATGTTGCTGACTCTTGCTCCTTGGTGCTTTTGGAGAGTACATCAAACCACTGGTGTCAATTTTAGATGGCAGAATATGGGTAACACAGGTATGTGCCATAACCTGCTGCCTGTTCTCTGCTTTCATTTAGGCTTTAACACTGTGGTGCTATTAAAGAGTCCTCCTCCACCCCCAGGACTGTCGGTGCCTGTTAGCAAACCCCCTCCAGGCTTTGCTGTTATTCCTTCCACCAATGTCCCTGAACCTGTCACTACATCCTTGAAAGAGTAAGTAAAAATGCTTTGAATTTATGTTGCTTAACACACAGAGCATCTCAGTTCTGGCACGTAGGCTTCAGAAGAAACACAGAGTACTTGGAAGGGATGATTCTACAAGGGCATTATGGCAGAAAGCAGCCATGTAATAAAATAATAAAATAGGGACCACATGGAGAATTCTGTTGCCACATCCTGGCACACACACACACACACACACACAGTATTTATGTATATATACATATATGCTGTGGTACACTGCTCTTGGTACCTCCAAAGGCTTCCAGTGCTTCCATTTCTAGAACTCACTGGCTTTGGCTGGCATCCTGTGGGCTGGGAAGATGAGCTAATGGGAAAAGGAAGGGAAGATTTATAGATTAATACAGATGTCTGTATTAATCTGTTCTGCTTTACTCAGAGTGTGGACCTGGTCTTTTTTGCTCATGTCTTTATAATAAACCTGCCTTACAGAATGGCTAGTTTTAAGCTTTCATTTTAAATGTCTCCAGTCAGATGCATCTCAGCATCCCATCCAACTAGCTCTGTGCTGCTAGCAGTAATTGCTTGGCAAGCAGGGTGGAACAAGGGAATATGTACTAGAGAAAACCTGTACGGAAGGATGCTACGGAATGCCTGTGTGTTATAACATGGAGTACGGTCAAATTCTTCTTTTTCTCCCAAATGCAGACCAAAATCCTGTCATGGATCATACTTGATACCTGAAAACTTTCAGCAAAGGAATATTCAGCTAATACAATCTATTAAAGAATTTCTTCAGAGCGATGAATCTAAGTTCAATAAATTTAAAACTCATTCTGGGCAATTCAGACAGGTGAGTAGGTGAGAGCCTTCCCCAAACCATGTGGTTCATGCACGTCTGTCACAGCCTGCTGTCAGCAAGAGGGAGATGGTTTTTCTTCTCTGTGCCACTGAAACTCTTCTTTATTGTCAAGATAGCAAAAAAGCAGTGGGAATGATGTGGTCTGGAAGAAAGGGAGTCCTTTTATAGGCTGGAGTTGCTGTTTTCTCATTTCTAATTGTGCCCATCCTCTTTTCGCTCAAGGGGCTGATTTCTGCAGCGCAGTATTACAAGAGTTGCCGAGACCTACTTGGGGATAACTTCAAGAAAATCTTCAATGAGTTGTTGGTGTTGTTGCCAGACACGGATAAGCAACAAGAACTGCTTTCTGCTCACAACGACTTCAAAATCAAGGAGAAGCAAAGCTCAAACAAACCCAAAAAGAACAAAAAGAATGTCTGGCAGACGGACTCCAGCTCTGACCTCGACTGCTGCATCTGCCCCACGTGTAAGCAAGTGCTCACTCAGCAGGACGTTGTCACTCATAAAGCTTTGCATATTGAGGACGAGGAATTCCCTTCCTTGCAGGCAATCAGCAGAATCATCAGTTAGCTTTCCTGAAGACCAATAAAAGAGTCTCAACCCACGAATATGCACTTTTTGGAATGAGGTTTGGCAGTGTAGTGTGGCTGGGAGCCGGTGCCACTTGAGTAACACGCAGGTAACTGTTAGAGAGCCCCTCGGTGCTGTTGGGAATCCTGTGCCAAGGGAGTGTGGGGCTGCGCTGGGGCTAGCGAACATCCCTGAGCTTCCGAAATGCCCGTGTGGAATTAGGCTGGAATTGCAGGGTGGGCAGGCAGGGGCACCTTTCTCCTGTAACAGGCAATAGCTGAGAAAATCCTTTCTGATCCGAAGACCGGCAGGGGCCACAATTGGGGAATAAGCATCTAGTTTTGTTTCTTCTTTCTTTTTTTTTTGGGGGGGGGGGGGGGGGGGGGGGGGGAGCTTTTGAGTCATGGGACGAATGGAAGCAAAAGCAGCTTCCTTCATATTCTGATTTGGAGCTTTTTTCTTTTTGTGACCTTGAAGATCAAGGCAGTCAGGGGTGCAAAGGTGCAGGAAAGGAAGAGCTGCTGCTCGCTGGTGAATTCAGACCAGTGCCATGTTGTGTCTGTAAACATTGGGCTGCTCCTCCAGCAAAGAATATTCCTGTCTGGAAGCCAAGTTCATTAGACTACTTGAATTGGACTGATCTGTGTGATTAGCTGAACGTGAGCTTTGAAGTTGCCTCTGACCTTTTACGTAATCATGTTCTTTAAAAAAAAAAAACTATTTTGTAGCACTGCATGTAGAAGAATAATGTTAAGGCTTTACTTTCTGTAAAGCGCATTTCCTTCACAGTAATTTTATTTAATGACTGCCATGTTTCTAATTTCTCGGATGTATTAATGGTGGTAGCTCCAAACAACAGCATCTTGGGCCATTAAATGCTGCTGCTCACTGACCATGTCCCTGTGCAGTGCCTGGGTGCAGGGTCTGCACTACCCGGGGGAGCTGCCTGGGTGTCCCGGGTGCTCCCAGCTCTGCGCTGGCCCTTTGGCATCTCCCGGCTCCGCGGGAGCAGGGCACAGGGATACCCCGAGGCTCCCTCTGCCCGTCCTGCCAGCCCCGTTAGCTGCTTTTCACACGTGGGACCGTGCCAAGGTCACGGGGGGATTTTGGTGACCGTCGCTCTTATCGGAGCTGCCCTTGCTCTCGGTCTGCCGCTGCTCCTGGTTTCTTTTCCGAACACTTCAGCACCCTGAATGTGTCCGGGCAGCCCCAGGGCCGGGCTCCGTGTCCGCACCGGCGGCGAGGGAGGATGATTTGGCTGCAGGCCTGGATAAAATCACAGAATCCCAGAATGCTGAAGGTTGGAAGGGACCTCTAGAGATCATCTAGTCCAACCCCTGCACACGCAGGGTCACCTAGAGCACGTGGCACAGGGCTGTGTCCAAGCGGGTTTGAAGATCTCCAGAGAAGGAGACTCCACAACCTCTCTGGGCAGCCTGTTCCAGTGCTCTGGCACCCTCAGTGTTTTTTTAAAAAAAAAAAAAAAAAAAAAAAAAAACTTTCCTGCATGGGAACAGGGCACTGGGTTTGGGGCCCGTCCCCCTGCAAAGCCACCGCACACGCGGCCTCCCCCCTGCTGCACCCTCTGGCAAATTCCCTTCTCCTTCCCCCTGTAAAATCTGGAGCGAAGGAACCGCATGGAGGAACCTCCTCCGCCTTCCCTTGCCCTTCCTCCCTGTAGCAGCCGACAGGGATAATTCCCACCCACGGGATGGGAACGGGAGCTGCTTCCCGGGCCCTGCACGGGGGGTTCTGCCTGGCTGAGACCCCCCTTCTTGTTCCCTGCGCTCACCTGCATCAATAAAATACTGCCCACTTCGTTCAGGCCCCTTACATTCATGTTGAACTCTTTATTGAAAATAAGTTGCAGTTGGTACACGGACACTAAAAACACATCATCACAGGTTCTTCTCTCAAAAGATATTTTTATATATGTATATATATATATACAAAAGTTGTAAACATTTTAACTTATTTCAATACACTGTCCACTTTATACTACAATGCACATCAGATTAGTGACAACTGCAACTCTTGGAAGCGGTCTGCCTATGCTGAGGTATCTGCAAAAGAACTGAGCTTTGCAAACCACATTTGGTATCAGTTTGACATTAAAACTCTTGAGAATGGGAGGTTTAAATGCATATTGCAACAAAACAGAGGCAGCTGAGCTTGGGTTTCAAGGTGATAGAGCGAAGGCTGCTTTTAAGCCTTGGGGGAAGCATCTTCTGCAAAAATGCTACCTGGAAAAGCACTGAGCAAACCAGCCTGGCCTTAGACCGTTTGCTCTCCCCATGACGCTTCGGGGGGAAAAAGGACTGAAATGGAGCTTGCAAATATACAAAGTAGCTGTAACACAGAGAAATACGGAGTGCACAGAAGCACTGATGTGATTGAGCAGTTAAACCCGGTTCAGAGGCAGCGGCGTGGATGGAGTA